AGGTTGGTGTCAACACGAAGGCAAGCACGAAGCCCGCACTAAGGTCAGTGTCAACCCGAAGTCGACTAGGAGATAGTCGAAGGCAAGCACGAAGCCCGCACCAAGGTCAACGTCGACACGAAGTCAACTACTAGGAGGGACTCGAAGTCCCAAACTTGCGTCGAATACACAGACGAAAAAGTGGTCGAATACGTCGATCAACCTTTGGAGCAAATGAGGGCTAGCAAATGTGAAGGAAGGAACTCTACCTGTTTGTGTACACTCTGCTCTGTGAAACTGAAATATTAGCGGTATGCGGAAAATAAACGTTGATATCTAAGATAACCTGTTCAACCATGACAAAATCCCATGTGATTGCAACAGCAATGGGTAACACAAGGTGGTATACAAATTATTGACTATTGGGGGTATATGTGAATTAAATTCGTAAGATGACAATGATTGCGATGGGAAAAGAGCACACAGCATCTAGATCTAGGCGACCGAATACAGTAAGTGAGGAACGACAGGTGGACGACCAGTATTGTCGAAATAAGACTGAACGTAAAAGAGACAACATTCCTTCATCCCCTTCCATATGTTGTGCTCACGTCCGGTAGCATCAAAAGGTTGTTTGAGGGACTCGGGAAAGTGCTCCCACGCTGACAACACCTTGCGGAAACTTTCGAAATATGGTAAAGCGGCGTCGAAAGATGGCGCATTGAGTCCGTCGTTCTCTTGAGGTAAGTCCCTGTTCCAAACTTTCAACGACTTCGACGGGAAGATGCTACGAAGAAGCTCCATCCTTTCCTTCCTCGCCTCCTTGTCCTTACGTGCATCGCGCCCAAGATGCTCATCCAGGTCCAGAAGCTCATATCGAAAACTTTGCTCACAGATTTCATATACGATTTGGCGTGCGAGATCTGCGGGGGGATTGTCGAGCGTGGAAATGGCTATATCCTTTCCACGCCAGTGAACATTTGTGGGTCCTGCCCACAAGGCCCGCAGTACCGGAACTTCCTTTTGGAAAAGTAAAGCAGTCGCTGCTTTCGACTTGCTGGTCTTGCCGGACGTCCGCGTGTTCGAAGGTTCCTGAGCGTGCTGAGATATCAAGAAATCGCGCCAGTTCTGGGCGCGAGGAAGAGGTCGAGGCCTTTCGTCATAGACACGTTCTATCCAGGTAGGGCGGCATGCCAGCCAGTTGGCAAGGTACTTCACCAAGGATTGCGGGGAAAGAACGTTAACGAATAAACCTGGATCGGGAAGCGAGTACCCATCATCCATTTTGTCTCTGGGATGCTTGATGCGAATAATATCTTTGTTTGCGTCCTCCAACGCTATCTTGAAGAAAGAGTTCATTGGCGGCATATAAGGGTGATCTATATCAGACCACTTGTCACGGCCAGATACAGCTTTATTCTGACGCGGAGCGGTTGCATTGTCTGAGGAATTAATTAGTCACAACAACCATGAAAGAAGAATGCTGAACTTACACGGCGCAGGCTTGGCACTCATTTTGGCCTTCCCTTTGTCTACGCGCGCCCTTCCTACCAATGACTCCCTCGTTACCATCTGTTCCACTTGGGGTGTTGAAACCGGTAGCTTCTCAAAGTTGGAATACGGCTGACGAGCGGCCTCATGACGCTTGCGATTATTGGGACCTCTGTTGATGATGTCGAATGGTTGGGCGAAGAGTTTGACAGGATCATGATACATGCCGATGACGAGGTCATCAGGTGGTGTGAAGGAAACGACTTTGACGATGTTCATGTTGGCATTGACAAGTCTGGCATCGCGAATAAGCCAGACAGGAACTCCAGCAGCGTGCACCTTCGTAGTGATAGCGACATCTTCGGTGAAACAACCCCATCCATTTGGGGTTAACCTTGTGCGTAGTGTCGACGAATCGCATGTGAGGCTTGATAAATTTCGTAATAGTCTATAACCGCCCAGATATCGAGAAACCAGCGCTGATATTCAGCAACGATTATGACGATGTCGTGCCAGGCCATGGCTTGCTGGAAGCGCTCGTAGACAGCGCGCATTGCATGCGCCCACCCAACTACATGATCCTCCTTGTGGGACCTTGCAACCTTGTAATTGCTAACCCGCAGTATTGGCCTTCTTGTACAAGCGCTTGAGGTGGCCGACAATGTCGGTCTTGAGTTGACCAAAAAGATTGCCGGGAGAAATGGGCGTGAAGTCACTTGCGAAAGTTGGTCTGAACCATGCGTACATCATGCTTGAGTCGTCCGCATAGGCTTCCTGGCGTGGGATTGCAAAAACTTCGAGCGTATAAGTCGTCATACATCTGCGGCCACTGGAAGGGATCCAGGGCCCAATATCTACCATCTGTGCGCGCTTGAATGATGTCGGATTCGTTGTTGAAGGGTTGGGGAATTAATTTCATGTTGGGAGTTGTGATTACTTGGTGGCCATATGTAGCCACACAGAAAGCATCAGTGGCAGTCAGGTAACCTGGATATCATCAATCAAGAGTAGTAGAGGTATGAAGATGCCAAAACGTACGGTCACCATCGTGCATGAATGGCTTGAAGACAGGAATCGACATGGTTGTAGCTCCAGGAACCATGATATCGAGAACAGGGAAAGATACAGCGACTCGCAGTCACTGAGGAAGGAAATTTAAACGAAACAGCGACTCGAAGTCACTGCCGATTAAAATGCTACCACTGAAGGCCGATAGCGAGAGAGTAGTGTCTTGAAAGATTCAGGAGAAATCTGACGAAGGCGTGGTGTCAGTGATGATAGCATGAATCAGTGTAATGAACGAAACTTACGGTAAAGGGCGACAGGAGTCTGAGCGAGTCTGGTTAAAGACCTAATGTAGTCATAATAGCGTGACGAATAACGAATGTACTTACCTATGAAGTCTAAGACCCACGAAGGAAGTAAGAGTCTTGAAAGATGGGAGAGATCTGGTGAGGGCGTGATGTAGTAATATAGCATAATCAAGGCGGTCGTAGCACGATACTGAGCTGTGGATGACAAGACGTGCCGACCGAAGTCTAAGCATCGATAGTAGCAAACAACACGAAGGTTGCTGCTCAAAGGGACGCCCACCACGAAGGTAGACTGTAGCGAGGCGGGGGGAATAGGCTGGGGAATGTGAGCCGCCCGATGAGGAGTGGCGTTGAGGATGAGGAAAAGCGTTCAAAATGGACTTCACACTTTGATTCAGTGTGGGAAAGCCCTTACCTAGAGTGGGAAAGCCCAGATCAAAGCCTGGGAAAGCCCTTCTGATTTCGACCAATTTAGTAATCTCATCAATGTTTGGCCCCGTTTCCACTCATCGTCTGCCCTCTGCCCTCATCGTTTGCCCCCATCTTCAACCTCTGGCCTCATCGCATGGTCTGCCTTCGAGGCAGACAAGTTCTGCCTGTATGACTTCGTGTCATCCAGCGCTATCTGGCCGTCTGACTACGAGTCAGATTACGGTCTACCTACCTCAACACCTCGCCCACATCCATCCTCTACAAATGTATGTGTCCATTTAACTCTATTCTAATTGATTACACGCAGGACTTTTCAACGACATCCTCATCTCCCACCCTTGTCTCCACCGCATCGACTGGCCTGATCGCATGGTTCTGCCTTCGAGGCAGACACGCTTTGGCTGGGTGACTTCGCGTCATCCCAGCACTGTCTGGCTGTCTGACTACAAGTCGGATGCCTCAACACTGTGCCACTATCTATTCGTTCTCTGCGCAAGCGCATGTCCAGCAACTCAATTCTATTTCATCGTCTGCGGGAATTTTGAACGCTCAACATCTTTGTATTCCAACTACCGATCGGTACGTCCTCCCCCATCTTACAATTATACAATCGTTTCATTCTACTTACAACAGATAATCAAAGTTTGGGGTATGCAAAATATGGTAGGGACACTGGCGCGTATAATTGTAAGCATTCTTTTCTCGACACGCTGGAGGAGATTTTTGATGATGACCATGGCATCATCAGTACCTGCCAGTAGCCTGGACTCTTACGCGCGGAGAAGCTCATATTCGCCCCATCACCCATTTGGACCCTAATTTTCGTAAGTTTCGAAGCTTTTTTAATGTGGGCCATCCCCAATAAGTTAGTATACGATCCTTTGCGGTGAATATTCCATTTTTCTAACAATGTTCTTTCAATGTACCTCTGTTCGTTTCGGTGTCGATTGGGCGGGATTACAACTTTGGAATATTATTTCTTGATGTGTATTGGGCGCCTTACCATTAGTTAAAACCCGCAATGTTCGTGTTTTTAAACAAGAATCTTTCTTCTTTTGACTCGCAACCATTAGTTTTCTGTACTCTTCTATCGTCCTGTCAAGACTTCGAGTCTTGAAATCTAGCTGTAAGACTTCGTGTTTCACAAGCTGCCCTGCTTCAACATTCGTGTAAAGCACCCCTTTTCTCAGTATCAAGCCCGCCTACGTTTCAATGGCACCGTCTACCAGAAATGCAGCCCGTCGTGGTGCTACCGGTACTGGCACTCATGACCCCACAGTGTCTGGCACCTATGTCATGCGCACACGCAGTGGTGTTGCCATCAACCCCCCCGCCAAACAAAATAATAAGCGCCAAAGAAATGCTGTCCCCGAGTCATCTCCTGCTCCGGATGACCCTCACCGGCCAAAACCTCGTCCTTTACCCCGACGTTCCTCGGGTACGACCTTTGAGGACTATGCTCGAATCCTTGCTCGCCCTCGCAAACAACACTTAAAACCCACAGCGGACTCCGTCTCTTCTGGAATGGAGTTGCAAAGCGACCATCCCCCAGGTAATGACTTACGGCATTCACAACAATAACTATACTAACCCCTTTCATAGATACACCTGACATCGACGATGACGTACCCGTTACGGACACTCGCATGGATGATGATATGAACGGCGGTAGCGACAATGATGCCGATGATGATATGACCAATGAAGACCGTGAACACAGCCAGGCTAACGAAGATGAGGATGAGGATAATGATGGCTCCAGTACGTGGAAAGACTTCAGGTATATTATTTTTCATTTAGTATATCGTTGGGAAGGCTGACGGTTGTCACCGTGAAGACAACGTAGAAGGTGATAGCGACAACGACGCCAAGGATGGCGATGAAGAGCCTGAGGGTGGCGATGAAGAGCTTGAGGGTGGCGATGAAGAGCCTGAGGGTGGCGAAAATAACAAGGACTTCGAGACTTCACAAGGTATGTACTATCTTACTTTTCTCTTAGTGGGGAGGGCTGATGGTCATCTGTTGTACGCAGCCAGGAGACTTCGGCCTCGAAGGGTCAAGAAGGGCAGCTACAATTTACATTTCGATGATGGTTCTCAAAGCTCTTCATCGGATACCAGCTACCGTGAAGGCCCCGCAACATCTGATCAAGATTCCGCCCATGAGTCAGATGCAAACAAAGACCTCGACCCCAACCACAACAGCCCGTCTTCACCGCCTGCTAAGCGCAGGAAAAGGTCTTCAGCGATCGAAACTACCTTGGCCAACACTTCCCAAAAAACATCTCACTCGACAACCGTTCGCAAGAAGCATGCAGCTATTTCACATGGTGGCAACCCCACTCCAGCCAGTATAGTCCTTTGGCCCGACGCCGGACATTGACAACAGTGAGAATGAAGACGAACCCTCAGGTCATTTAAAGCGTGGACGGCTATGTCAGGAGGGCATCGATGAGGCTCAGGAACTTGGACAGAAAACAGCAGAAGAAGCTCGGGTGATTGGCGCCAAGTATGGCAAGTCCGCGCGCGCTATTCTCATTGAGGCTGGTCTGTCCATCAAGCATTCACGATCAGAGTCTGATTGGAATGCCCACCAACGCTGGTTCATGGATAATAACCCCCGCAAGGACAAAGAATGTCAGTCCCCCATTCTGTGGTGTATATGATGCTAACTCGAGAGTCTCAGCTATCATCGACTGGAAAGAACGTCAACGCAAACATTATCATGCGATGGGCAAGGATGACGAAGAGTGGGACATCATTCGCAACTATAACGTTACTGGCGGCAATACCAATCAATCACGCGCCAAGACCATTTTGTCAATGAGGGAGGATATTGCAAGAAAGGTACATCTACTTCATTAGCGCATTCTAAATTACGACTAATGACTCAATACAGTTGTCTGCTTATTCTCGCCTTGAAGGAGTCGAGGCCATCGGCTGTATATTTGATACAACACAAGACGAGGCTGCTCGACAGGCATCCGGCTTTGTCGCGGGCTCCGACCTCATAGTCAAGTTGATCAATGAGCATCAACTGGATGCTCGCGCAATATTAGATTGGGTCGTGACTGCAACGAAGTACGTCTTATTATTCTGGACTTTTCCTACCTCCTGATATATTCACAGAGCGAAAGGCTACAATATATCCGTGCCGCAGTTCATGGGGGGAGTAGGGGCTTACGAGATTCTACTTTCAAAGCCAAACGAGGCTCCCCGCGACCGTTACAGGAGGATATGGCCAATTATGGTACTCGAGCACACTTGTGAGTACTCAAGTTTGTCCAAATTCAACGATTCATTGGATTCTGCTCAAATAGCGAAGTTTGGGTATCAACCCAAAGCAGTCCAGTGGCGGAAGCTTCTTGACTATGCTTTCCAGTACAAGTTCATGATTAAGAACTGGCCTGAAGACGTCCTTCCTATCGGTCCCGAATTCAATCCTCACAACCTAAGTTCTCAGCACCTCAAGCTACTTGTCGTTCCTTTCATCAAGCGCAAAGCGCATTCTTATTATGAGGCAGAGCTCCGCACTGAAGCTGAGAGCTTGTTAGAGCTAGAGAAAAAGAAGTCGAAGGGCAAGCGCCGAGGTCAGGGGCGCACTGTGGAAGACGTCATGAGTGAATTAGATGTCGATGTACCCGAGATCGAGTTCGCAGCTTGGCCAGATGGTATGTCATTTCCACGTTATCATTATACCTTTGTTTTCTGATGTCGATTGTGCAAGAATGTATCAAGCAGCTCAATGACGAGGTGCCGGAGATGTTCGACATTCCCTTGGTGACCAGTGCCTTGGATGTTGTGCTACGCAAGCTAGTAGACTCCGCCAAATTTAAGGCGTCTGTCCCTGAAGATATATTGGCAGCTCATGAAGCACATCCGGATGGTCAGACTCCCTCTACTCACGACACGCTGCCAAGTGATCATGAATCTCCTGTCACTCCGAGCCCCCCGACCTTGCCATCAAACCAACGTCACCCTACCAATTTCACAGCAGTACATCGCCGCGAGGACACTCATCTTCCTCAAGTCCCAAATGTGTTTGATCGTGAATCTCGCCCTGTTCTGCCTACAAGCAGAGATGAACCTGTCGGTGGTGGAAGACGACAGGCTAGCCTGCCGTTCAAGGCGAAGAAAACCTTTACGGGTAAGTGCTACGCTATTCCGTCAAGACTCAATGTTGATCTTCTTCAGGTTGACCCTACATTCATGCGCCGCATGGAGGAGCGTCCCGCTGACTCTCGTAATGATGCAGACTTGGAGTATGTCTTACCTTTCCACGACTTCCAACATATATTAATTTAATTGCTTAGGCTTGCGCCCTACCCAGGCCCTCGTCGTGAGGACAGAGATTTCGTTGCCCCAAACCGCCGCCGTGAATATTCTCGTTCACCTCCTGTATACCCTCAGCGAGATCCATCTCGCTCAAGGTACTATCGGCCCACCTACAGGCAACGCGAGACTTCTCCTGTCGCGCTTAGCGATGATGGTTCTTATCCTGGACGTCCTGCTCACTCACGCCGGCAAAATCATGCTGATGATTTCAATCAGAGGTTCCAAGTAAGGAGAGCTGGTGACTCTCATTATGAAGACGGGCCTTCGCGGTTTCGCTACTAACATGGGCAAGAATTGTGCTGTCCACTCATTCATATTGACTTTGCTTGCCTTTGGTTGTTCATATTAGCGCCTCACGTTTTTGTACTTCGGGTACCTCTAGCTGTTGTACTTCGTGTACCTCTCACTGTTGTACTTCGGGTACCTCATCACTTCAGTTGTCTCTTGCGCAGGATGAAGCTTTCACATGTAATGTTAGTACTCCCATGTGTCGGAACAAGACAGGTCATGTCTGTCTCCCTTTTGTTGACGATCTTGTAATGCAATCATATGTGTACCAACGGCCCAAAACGTGTGAAATTAAGTTTGCGCACTATATCTGTGAGAAGGTTTGGTGACAACGACGAATGGCAACATAATTTATCATCACATGCAAGAGGATTGAATCGACCTCCACGGATTTTTCTGCTGAAGAAAAAAAACAAATATTTAAAATGCACGTTGGCAGGTTCGAACTCACATAAACATGCTATGCAGGCATACACACACTCTAACCGTTACACCACAAGTCCTTATATCTTTAGGGTGTCAAATTGTATATGGCTGCTGAATGCTGCTCATCTCATCAAAACTTTGCAAAGTCTTTTGCCCGTCATCCTATTCAGTCTACCACACTAGCAATTATGTAGCATAACATGTACTTTGCACACAATATTGCTTTTTGTAGATTTCAATTTCTATATTCAGATGGATTTGTGTTCATTGTGCTCAGGTAAATGGAAATATGTGCACTTTGGGTTGAATACAAATACTGAAATGCATGTGATTTGAACATACTCCGAAGTCTACAAGAGCTGATCAAGGCCAGCATATAATAGCATAATTAGGGTGAGTGGGAACACCTGGATAGTAGTTGAGAGGTAGATGGAAGAGTCCAAATAGTGTCATTATGGTCAGCGGGAGAGCCCAACTGGTATAATTAGGGTCGGTGGGAAGGCCCAGATAGTAGTAGAGGGGTAGGCAGGAGAGCCCAAATGATGTGTATACAGTCGGTGGGAGAGCCCAAATGGTGTTGGTAGGGTTGGCGGGAAGGCCCGGTGCTGATTGAACGGTAGATGGGAGAGCCCAGAGTATGCGTATATGGTCGGTGGGAGAGCCCAAATGGTGTTGGTAGGGTAGGCGGGAAGGCCCGGTTGCTGATTGAACGGTAGGCGGGAGAGCCCAGAAGATGCGTATATGGTCGGCGGGAGAGCCCAAATGGTGTTGGTAGGGTTGGCGGGAAGGCCCGGTTGCTGATTGAACAGTAGGTGGGAGAGCCCAGAGGATGCGTATATGGTCGGCGGGAGAGCCCAAATGGTGTTGGTAGGGTAGGCGGGAAGGCCCAGTTGCTGATCGAACGGTAGGCGGGAGAGCCCAGAAGATGCGTATATGGTCGGCGGGAGAGCCCAAATGATGTTGGTAGGGTTGGCGGGAAGGCCCGGTTTGCTGATTGAATGGTAGGCGGGAGAGCCCAGAGGATGCGTATATGGTCGGCGGGAGAGCCCAAATGGTGTTGGTAGGGTTGGCGGGAAGGCCCGGTTGCTGATTGAATGGTAGGCGGGAGAGCCCAGAGGATGCGTATATGGTCGGTGGGAGAGCCCAGTTGCTAATTGAATGGCAGGCGGGAGAGCCCCGATGATGTGTATGGGGTGGGCGGGAAGGCCCAGATAGTACTAGAGAGGTAGGCGGGAGAGCCCGAACAGTGCCATTAGCTAGTCAGATTTATCTATCCCCCCCCCCCTCTAGATAGCATCCCAAATTGAGATTGGCCGCCTACATTCCTCTCTTCACCTCTCATACCTCCATTAGAAAGATTTGCTTCATTGGCGATGACAAACAATTGCCACACTATGGTCAGGATGATATCCACGACCTGAAGAGCATCTTCGAGGTCAAGCATCTCAAGGACCATGCCCTCTTCCTGAACACACAATACAGGATGCCTCCTCAAATTGGAAACTTCATCTCTCAAGCTGTATATGATGGCCTACTCGAGTCGAATATGCAACACCCCGTCACGAATGAGAGGATGGCTTATCATTTTATCAACATTCCCAGCCAGGAACAGTAACATAGAAATAGCCGGAAGAACCTTGGACAGTGCCAAACCATTTTCCATATTGCTACCATATTGCAAGCAAAGAATAAGCGATTCCGCATTATCACCCCTTACGACACTCAGCAGACATGAGATAAGTAAAGCTCCCACATTTTATTGCATATTATCTTTGCCACCCCCCCTTCCTTGCACACCCCCCCCCCCCCCGTCGTCTTATGACAGACTCGCAAGTAAAGCTCCCACATTTTATTGCATATTATCTAATGCCACCCCCCCTTTGTTGCACACCCCCCTGCTGTCTTATGACAGACTCGCAAGTAAAGCTCCCACATTTTATTGCATATTATCTTTGCCACCCCCCTTCCTTGCACACCCCCCCGCTTTGTCTTCTAACAGACTCGCAAGTAAAGCTCCCACATTTTATTGCATATTATCTTTGCCACCCCCCCTTCCGTGCACCCCCCCTGTCATCTTATGACAGACTCGCAAGTAAAGCTCCCACATTTTATTGCATATTATCTTTGCCACCCCCCTTCCTTGCACACCCCCCCGCTTTGTCTTCTAACAGACTCGCAAGTAAAGCTCCCACATTTTATTGCATATTATCTTTGCCACCCCCCCTTCCGTGCACCCCCCCTGTCATCTTATGACAGACTCGCAAGTAAAGCTCCCACATTTTATTGCATATTATCTTTGCCACCCCCCTTCCTTGCACACCCCCCCCCCCCCCCCCCCCCGCTTTGTCTTCTAACAGACTCGCAAGTAAAGCTCCCACATGTTATTGCATATCTGAGTCTGTGCCACCCCCCCGCCTTGTCTTCTAACAAACTCGCAAGTAAAGCTCCCACATTTTATTGCATATCTGAGTCTGTGCCACCCCCCGCTTTGTCTTCTAACAGACTCGCAAGTAAAGCTCCCACATTTTATTGCATATTATCTTTGCCACCCCCCCCTTCCGTGCACCCCCCCTGTCATCTTATGACAGACTCGCAAGTAAAGCTCTCACATTTTATTGCATATCCAAGTCTGTGCCACCCCCCTCTTTGTCTTCTAACAGACTCGCAAGTAAAGCTCCCACATTTTATTGCATGTTGCTCGCAAGACAACCTCATTACTCAATGACTAGTGCTGCACTCAGTTAGACTTCTCTTACGTTTAGGACGCTGTTTCAAGCCAAAAATCCTGCAGGTTTTTGTCCCATATCAAATCTTGTCTCAAGTGCATATACTGGCCTTGCATACCTAGTACTACTCCTTCTATGGATGTACAAATCGTGAATTTTTATGCCGTCAAAATGTCTGAAAAAGGACCCCTATCACCCCTATTTATGATGGGAAAGCCCTCCTGATAAATGCCCTGGGACATCCCAGAGACATGCTAGAGTGATCCCAGTTGGGATTGGGAAAGATCAAAAATAGGTCCTTGGGATGGCCCAGATACTTGCTTCAGTATGGACCGGGACATCCCAGTACATGGGGTAAAATACTGGGAATACCATCCTAGAACACACCCACTAGGTCCTTTGCTAGCCACAAACACATAGACCTAAGAGGTCATTTCAAGTGGTTGACTGAAGTGAAATGTGACTGACTATTGGCAAATCTTCCAGAGTGTTGAGCATGAGTCCTATGGATACTGGACATACTGTAAAGTGATGACTCTTGCAGTTGAACTGCACAGGTTCAAAACTTGCCAATAATATGATTTTTTTCTATTAGAATACACCTTAATATTTACTCATATGATGCTTTCATGAATTTGTCTCCAGGTCTGCATCATATGAAATCGTATTGATTTTGGTTCCCATGCTATCATCCAAGTCTGCTATTAACATGTTGGCATCCTTTTAGGACCATATCCAGCTGCTAACTACACTTTTAGTAATGGTGTAAGCTTCACAAATGTGTATGTTTATGATAATTATTAATGAGTACATCAGCAGTCAAGGACAACAGGTCACTGCTCATGTAGACAAGTGAACAACAGCAGAGCAGGTTCAAAAAGTTAATTGTACATTGCATTAACTTGTTTATGTTCCTGTTCACAGCTCACTCTATTCATTCAGACAGCTCTTGTAGCAGGTAGTATAAAACTTTGTGGAACAGAGAATATTAACTTAGACTGTAGACTGAATGACAATGCCCAGATCATCCAAGATAGGAGGCTCTGAAGCATCAATCTGTAGAACAGGATTGATGAGAGAACCAGAGTGAACAGCTGTATATTACATACCAACTTTTCATCCCAGTCATTCAAAGGGAGATAGCTCAGAGATCTCAAAACCAATGACTCCTGAATAAAGTGAGTGGTGGATGTATGAACTGAGGATAGGAGGGTCTCAACACTCTGGTGAAGTTTATGGTAATACCCCTGCTTTGTAGATAAGTTTTGCAACTGAATATGTATTGAAATGCTATAGCAGTTTTAGCATATGCATTGTGAGGGCAAGAGGTTTCCCATGGCTCAGGTCCCTAGTACCTAGTTGATTGCAAGAACTTGAGGTCCAGCTTAGCAAAGAATTTGATCTCTTAGAAGCTAATGAACCACTAGAAAATCCTAAGTCAAAGAACTTCACATACCACCATTCAGAAAAGACAGATATCTACAAGGTCAGAACATTCATAACCGCCACCTACATCAGAGTGGGCTCCAGGGAACACACCTACCACAACCTCAGCTCTGAAGCTAGGAGTTACTGCACATTGAAGCACTCACTTGTTTGAGCATATGATGTGGAGCTAGGTCCTTTGGCTTGGTCCATAATATAGGTAGGAGTTTCTTACTAGATAAAGGCCAAGCTTTGCCGGCAGCAACCTTGTACCATTATAATGGCACTGAGTCTTGTTTGCAGGAACATTGTTTATGAATTTAATATTATTATTCCTGCTACCTTTAGGTAGAGGGTCTTTCTTGTTGTGTTTTTTTCAAAAATAAAGGGGGGATTCTGACGAACACTTTAAATGGTCATTATTTCTCATGGTTGCTCTTTTCACAGTGGTTTGTGCATTATCTGTCAAGATACTCAATCACTGTCATGTCATCGTCTTCCATCATGATTGCGCACCAGGTCTAACCAGGCCCCATGCTGCATCTCCTCCTTGGCCATCAACGGTATATCAAGCTCAGAGCTCTTGCTTGCCCACTAGGTGCAAGTGCTTTCAAGATACTCAATCACTGTCATGTCCTTGTCTTCCATTGCGCACCAGGTCTAACCAGGCCCCATGCTGCATCTCTCCCATGGCTGTCAATGGTATATCAAGGTTAGAGCTCTATATGCTTGCCTACTTGGTACAAGTGCTTACCCTCCCTATGTCAAAGTGTCAACGCCTGCTGGCACCACCTTTGCCTCACAGTGGCAAGCTGTAAACGCTCGCCTCTCACCCAATTCCCTCACCCAAGCATCTACGCTTGGGTGGGGCACCACCTTTGCCTCACAGCAGCGAGCATTTATGCTTGCTCACCACCTTTGCCTCACAGTGGGGAGCATTTACGCTTGCCTCTCACCCAATTCCCTCTGGATGCTTGGGTGTCACCACCTTTACCTGCCAGTGGTGAGTGTTTATGCTTGCCTCTCACCCAATTCCCTCATCCAAGCGTCCACGCTTGGGTGGGGCACCACCTTCGCCTCACAGCAGCAAGTGTTTATGCTTATGCTCCCCTCTCACCCAATTCTCTCATCCAAGTGTCCACACTTGAGTGGGGAATTGTCACTATCATTGCCTCACAGTAGGGAGTGTTTACGCTTGCCTCTCACCCAATTCCCTCACCCAAGCATGGACACTTGGGTGTCACCACCTTCACCTGACAGTGGGGAGCGTTTATGCTTGCCTCTCATCCAATTCCCTCATCCAAGCGTCCACGCTTGGGTGGGGAATTGTCACTACCATTGCCTCACAGTGGGAAGTGTTTATGCTTGCTCACCACCTTTGCCTCACAGTGGGGAGCATATACACTTGCTCTCACCCAATTCCCTCATCCAAGCGCGGACACTTGGGTGTCACCACCTTCACCTCACAGTGACGAGTGTTTACACTTGCCTCTCACTGAATACCCGAATGTTGTTTATGAATTTAATATTATTATAGGCTATATTTTGGCAAGTATTTTGTATAATACTACACAGTAAAATCCAGCTATGTACAGAGACATCATTTTAGTATTTCAGTGATGATTTGCGAGCATATTGGTAATAGAAAGCATGATAATATTTGTTACATGATTCTTTTGGTAGCCAATGCAATTTTACTGATAGTAGAACAGAATTAAAGTTTGAACGTCAATGTTCACAGTGAAGACACACCATTGTGGAATTCTTAAGATGAAGACTCAGAGTTCCTGATTGGTTGTTTTCCTTTTTACTCTCATTCTGTACAAGGCCCGGCAGCAAGACATCGGCATTTGAAAGGGCTGCTTGGCAAGGCAGATGGTGGTGATAGTATGATCAGTTCTCGTAAAACGGTATTGAAAACATCGCATTTTGATTTGATAATATGATGGTGGCAAAATGCCATATGGACTTCGATGAGGGCTCCTTTCAGTTTTGATTCGTAAAGGTGTGGTGGGATAAGATTGTGGTTCTCATCATATGCTGGCAATGGCTGAATATTGTGGGTGGATGCAAGGTCTTGTAAAGGATCTTTGCATCGTTCTGCAACTGGCCATGTTGCAAAGTCGAATTCAGGGCCAAGGTCATCACCTGCAGTTACGAATGAAATTTGTTAAATCAGTAAGTCAGTGACTGAGGATTTTTGTAGCATACTGGTTGAGTCATCGTTACTGGGAATCGCCCTATCAGTAGTGTCATGTTGATTTTCATTGTCCAATGTTTTAATCTATTTTATGTTATATTTAGTTGTTTGGGAAGAATAACGAGTAATTGTAAGTACTTAATTTAAAGAGATTGTGGGTCAGTTTGATGGATCTTTGGCCAAGAGAGTCATAGATGATGCTGAAGGTTTCATATAGGTGCTAGTACTAGATGAAGAATTGGGGGGAGTGTTCGGATTTATGTGCATTGTAATTTATGGAGGTTGCAAAGTACTGAGACCATGTAGCTTGCCTGGTGGGTTTTTATAAGAATTGTTGTTTATGATCCGGTGTCCTGAACTAATCTTAAAAAGTGATTTATGAGGGAACTGAAGGTTTCGATTTGTGTTGATTGGCATGGATTGTGAATGAACAAAGTGGAAGGACTATGCCAGGACTGTATTGGGTTTAGTTGTCCAAGGCATGTGACGGTCTTGTGTGGAATCAATCCTAATTGGTCATAATTAAAAGTTGAAGTTGGAAAATACTGATATGAATCCACTTAACTTGGCATTGAAACATAAAACAATACTTGTCATCACTTGAGATAAGGGAGGTAGACTGGTCAAGATCCAAGCAAGAAAGATATAGAGATGATGAGGGACTTAGTTTTTGAAATCATCTTCACAAGTTCTGGTGCAATGGAGAGTCACAACATTACCGAAATTGTTGGTGACTTAACAAAGGCAGAGCTGGTCACTGTAGTTCCTGCAAATACACTGAGGGCAAATATTCAAAAGCAGACATGGCCACAAATCATGGATGTGGTATGCAAACTGCCTGACCATATTTTGGATATGATACACCAAGCTGCAGAGAAAAAAGATGAGGGACGTGAGATGGAACACGAGAAAAGCTGAGAGGAAAAGGATTACCAACAAACTTCAATGTGATGCACAGAAGAGTGTTGAAGAAGTTGATTTTGAAAAGCACAGTGATGGTGTTGCTGATGAGCACGATTATTCGAAGTACCTTGGATTACCATCAGAAGAAGAGATAAAAAAGTGCTTCAAAGCATACATATCAGGGATGTCAAACGGAGCTCTTGCAATGTCAATTTGCATTGTCTGTGGTCAGGAGTTGATGAGTTCTGAAGGTGTGTAACAACAGTTGTGGAATACATTACATTAATTGTTCGGCATGGAAATGTCGCACAGGCAACATGCATCATCTGTGTAGGATACCAAACATCAGGCAGTGGCTTTCTGTATCAATGGAAACATTACCTGCGGCAGCAACATTATGGGAGGGATTATTGTTGCTTGAAGGACATGTTAAAGGAGAGGCACCTGATGCAACAGGCTGGATCTGTTGTGAATGTCATTGATCACTTGAGGCTGATACAATGCCCAAGTTCACGCTTGCAAATAACATGTGGATTGGTCCTATTCCACATGAACTTGCCATTCTCACTCTCCCAGAGGAACTTTTAATTTCTCGTCGCTTTTCTTGATGTTACATCTTCAAACTATATCCAAAGGATACTCGACATGCAAATCCTAGTCATTTGCAGTGGGGAATGGTGGGAAACGTCACTTTATATGATATGAACACCGATGAAGTTGCAAAGATGGTCAAGGGCCAATTCCTACCACAACCAGTTACTTCTCTGGCATCCGTGCTCACAGTAACCTATGTTGGGACTAGAAATTTGCCCAAGGACTGGCTGAAATCAACATTTCATGTTTGATGTGGTGTTATGTTCAATGCGCTTACCTGGTTGAAGTCCCACAATCCACTTTATGCTGATATTCAAATATCAGAGGCGCAACTTGCACATCTCCCAGAGGATGATGTCCCTCAAGAAATAGTTTCTGTTGTCTGTCACGAGGCCAGTGATGATATTGCAATATGAGAGAACAAAGGATATGTGCCTACAGATGATGAGATTAGAAATGGTGTGTGTTGCAGTAACAATGAACATAACATCACCATTTAACATATCAGAATTTATTAGATGAAGACATTCCTAATCTGGAGAATGACTCAGAAGGATATAGTTTTGGAGAAAATAGCAGTGATAGCCATGGTAAAAATCTGAACAATTTTCAGATGAACAAGTTATTGATGATGTGCGTTAATAGACGCACATGTTATTCCGTTGAAGTTCTTAGGTGTTACAGACGCAGAACTCAGTACACTGCCATTGAATGATTTGATGAAACATGCACTTATGAATCTTGATGACGGTGTCACCGACAATGAAGGAGGCTATGTTGTGCGCCATAGCCATTACCCTGTTTCAGATTTTGGGTGCAATCAAATAGGAGGAGAAAACTTGCATATGATGAATCCACTTGCCATGACATATCCCAAACTGTTTCCTTATGGTGTTGGTGGAATCGAGGATACACATGGAAAGTTAGTTGGTTTTGATGAACATGTGTGATGGAGCTTACAATATCATGACCGACACTTCCAAACCCACCATTCATTCCCATTTGTCATTTTTGGCATGGAGCAGAAGTGCAAAGCATTGCAATCAGCTTGAATTCAGATGTATCGCAAGGATTTCAAATGCGATGGATATATCATCAATTCTATTACTGTTTCTGACCTTAAACAAGCAGAGAAAGAAGAGGCAGAACACAGAAAGATATCCAATCCTCAGGGTTCAACTTCTTCAGAAACATGTGTTTGCAGTGTCTAGGCGTATCATGGGATCTGATAATTATCAAGGTCAATATTGCGGGTTTATATGGGGAACATGTTTGTGTCTTTGGGGCCCGAGTCTTTGGACAACAATCAATCCCAGTGACACACACGATCCTGTTGCACAGGTTTTTGCTGGGGAGCAGATCGACATGGATGAATTTTTCCATGATGCTGGACTGGATAGCAATCACAGAGCTCAAAATATTGCCAGAGATCCTTTTGCCGCCACAAAGTACTTCTTCTTCATTATCAAGGCAGTGCTTTCAACACTTTTTCAGATTGAAGTCAGAGGAAATAGGGTGCATAGTGGGATGGGGATGCTTGGACGTGTTAGTGGCTATTTTGGTGTCATTGAAGCTCAAGGAAGAGGGTTGCTGCACATGCATATGATGATTTGGCTTCGTCACACGCCAAATATGCATGACATGCATGCTCAGTTGCAGAATGGAGAATTTCACACCAAAATCAAGGAGTATATTCAGCAGAATATCCGAGCTCATGTTGAAGGATTGGATGAAGAAACAATTTGAATGATGCCAAAAGAGAGTGACTTGCCATATTCATGACCCCTAGATCCTGATTCTAGCAATTGGGGTATAGAAAACCAAGCAATTGAACGACATGTAGCCAGGTCTCAACAAGTTCATACCTGTAGCAGGGCAACTTGTTTGAGATTTAATTGGCATGGACAGTTGGTCTGCAAGAGATGTGCTCCTTGGTTACTGTCACCCATTGATATTGTCGATGAACATGGCCGATGGAATCCAAAATGAACATACACATTTCTCAACAACTTTTGTCCTGCAATAACTATGACTCTTTGTTGCAACAATGATATCAAACTCCTCACCAATGGAAGTGATACAAAGGACATCACATGGTATTTTACAGATTACTTGACCAAGAAGCAGAATGAAACAAAAATGTATCCGCTTTGATGGTGAGTACATTGTTATATCATCAAGAACATTCAAATCATCTTGATAATGTGGTCAATCGTAATCGTCTGTTACTGTTTCGCTGCCAGCATGCTATCAATTGCCAAATGGAACATTCAGGACCACAAGTAATTACGTATCTAATGGGATGGGGAGACGCAATATATTCGCACCACTATGTACCATTATATTGGTTTGCACTCAAATCTCATTTGCTGCAGACATTCTCAGAGTTGAGTTTGAACAAAGAACAGTAAGTCTTTGTTAAAGATTTTGATCATACATGGGCTGATTCAAACAATTTCAGTGACACATCTGGTTCTGATATCCAGGGTATTGCAAGCAATGAAGACTCTGATTCAGACAACACAAATGATTCAGAGAGTCGGACAGAGACAAAAAAGAGACAACATTATGATTCAGACGACGAGGAAGATGCATTGGTATGTTTTTGTAATATATATTGTCGGATGGTGTAGTGGAATGACTCAATTTATATGTAGGACATGGTCACATTACATGTTAACAATGCTGGACATCTCAATATGTGTTCACAATTAGAATATTACAAGCAACGAGGAGAGGAACTCCCCTCATTCCTATTTTCATTTTGTAATCAACACATATAAAGAAGTGATCCCACCTTCAGAACAGAAACAGCAAGAGCATAAGCTTCTACATCATTTTCGATTCCAAGACATGGTCGGCCAAGAAATGAACAGAGCGCTTATCTCAATGATCATTCCAAATATCACACCCATTGCCGAGTTATCTGATCAAAGGGTCATAATACACTGCCTAATATTGTTGGACCTTTTTTTCCTCGAGGCGATGACCCAAAAACTCAGAAACTGTACTGTTCATCAATTCTTGCATTGCTTGTTCCATGGCGCAGTGTCAAAGAACTAAAAGGCGACTTCAAAACATGGGAAGAAGCATATGGGATTTTTCAGTCAAGCATCACAGCAAGAAAAGAACATCATTGCTGGCATTCAGTACTATTATGAATGCAAGAAAGCTGCAACTCTTTCACATGTCCATGATAGTGAAGACTTTGTATCTGCCGAACACCGTGGATCAAGAAACCAACAAGCTGCAATCATCAATGAAGAAGATGAATATGAAGATGAAGATACAGTTGTTCAGTTGACAATAGATGATTTGCATGCTTACAAAGAATCACAGAAGTCGCATCGTGAAGAAGTGCATGGAATGAATGCAGTTGCAGTTAGATTGTTGACAGGAATTTTTTTGGAGAAGCCAAATTCATGGAATGTTGTTGCATTGAATGTTGGTATCACAAGTGGTGCCAATTATGTTCAGCTTCAAAAGTGGCAAGCTATGATGGCTGATAAAAGAAATGAGGAAGAAGATGAAGTTATTCCTGCCTTTGACTTTGGAGACATTGCCATGATAGACGGACTACACAAAGTCAATGATGAAGGACATATATCATACATCCAGCCTTCAATCCAAGAACATATGTATCTCTCCAGTCAATCCATCCTGTCTTTTGAAAGATCAAAGACGTGCCTATGATATCATCAATTGGCACCTGTCTGAAACATTGGCAGGACACAAACCTCCACAGCTGCTTATGCAAATCCCCAGAGAAGGAGGAGTTGGCAAATCAAAGACTATCCAAACCATAACCGAAAACTTTTGGAGTCGAGGTGTTGAATTTATACTTGTGAAGGCAGCCTATACTAGAATTGCAGCTTCCATCATTGACGGAAAGACTCTACATGTTATCGCATTGATACCTCTTAATGGTCGTGAACAAGGAGTCCAGACATTGAAGAAATTTGCTGCAATTTGGAAAGACAAACTGTACCTCATCATTGATGAGAAATCCATGCTATCTCGCAGGTTCTTGGCCAAAATATCAGCATATATTGCGAAAGGAAAGTCTTTGGCTGGTGAAGAAGAAAACGACCAAGCATTTGGAGGAGTCAATGTGATTATTGTCGGAGATTTTCATCAATTTCCGCCGGTAGCAGTGAAGAAGAGCGCAGCTTTGTATTATCCCTGTGATTCATCAAAGGACACTGTGGAGGACATGCTGGGTCAGAAGATTTATGAGCAATTTACGACCATTGTTCATCTCAAGGAACAAGTTCGTGTTACCAATCCTGAATGGAATGAACTTCTGTATCATGTGCGGCATGGCAGTTGTCGCGCTCACCATGTTCACTTGTTCTAACAAATCCCCATTGTCCACCAATTGACTTCAATTCCGCTCCATGGAATGATGCAGTACTCATTACACCCTGCAATGCAGTACATCACCAGTGGAACTCGAACATGACGAAGAATCATTGTCGAAGGAGTGGACATCAACTTTTCGTGTGCAAGCTAGCAATTTACTGAGGTAGGTATAGTAGAAAGTGGTTGATGTGCCTAAGTGACTTAACAAAAGTTGTAGTGGTAGTCGATAAGTAGTCTTATCTTATTAATTGATTATTAATTGCTTGACTTATGAGTCTACAACATTTGTTATCAATAAAAATTATGCGGTTTGCAATACAATACATTCTTATAAGACTTACATGCTACCTATATTGTAACCATTGAATAGAATAAAAAAGTAGCTCATACTCACCTCAGTGGACCAATAAGTTACTAGAGGATGAAATGCTATAGTCTGGCTTATGTAATACTTCAGTAACACTATCTAACTTTATCTATAGTCATCAAAAACCTGCTAAGAACTTGTAGATTTACTTATAAAATCTATAGCTAGTCTAGCCTTTTCTTATCAATTGGTAAAATATTGGTCAAAAAACTGTATTTGAGAGGTAAAGAGGGATATTGATGGGTATATCCCCCCTGGGTTGCCATACCCTTAATGGAGGGTACATATCCCCAGGAGGTAGGGGTAGGGGTACAACCCTTGATACTCTAGGGTTTACCTCTGCAGTTGCCTACCCTTGCTTAGTTTGGAATGGCTCAGTGTTTCATATCTTTAACAGACTGAGCCCAGGAGCCATCATGGAAAGGTGTTAAGAACATGCTCAAAGGTATCGGATCCGAAGGGCTTGGCCTCAGCTTGTACGCTGTGCCTCCTACCTGAGTACTGCCCTTGATTTCGGAAGGTTAAAGTACCGCGTTTGGAAGAGCAGACGAGTACCGTAGTGTCAATCCAGATGACTTCCGGATATCGGACGAGTAGCGTAAAGGCTAGTCCGGACGAAGTCCAAGACTAGAAGCGGAACAGAGAAAGACTACCCTAAGGTAGAGTCAGAGATAAGTCAAAGGAATCAATCCTAAGACCGGAGGTGAACGAGAGAGAACTCAAGTTCGGACGGAGGCAAGAATGAGCAGAATCTAAGATGATATTCGAACTAAGGTTCTACAGAGTTTGTACATGAGTTTATATACTGTAGGTAGCATAACGGAATGGTCAGTCAGCATGGAACAAAGCTATGTACAAAGCATGTGGAAAGTCTAATGGTAAGTCTAACGGATCAAAGGAAATGAAGTTTGGACATGAATGCACAGGGTAGATCAATAAGCAAAGCGGAAGGGAAGATAGCTGGTGTACCGGAGAAGGTAACATCCAGAAGGAGATAGATGCTGAGTTAAGGTTCTGGGCTCGGGAATGAGTTGTGGACCGGTAAACCGCGTTGTGGACTGGATAGCAGATTAGTGGTCCGGTGTAGAGACTCGCGTTTCTGCAGGCACATATGGGCACATTTCGCACCTTTTCACAACTCATGACAATTGGCCTTCAATGCACAACTTGCACCATCAGCTACATTCGACTTCTATCAGGTCCCTAGTCGTTTTACACATAACGCGCAGCTTTCCCACGAAACGCGCCATAGGCGCAGCACTTTCCCACACAACGCGCAGCATTCCCACATGCGCACCTTGCGCGCTTTCTCGCGCTTAAGCGCCCTGCAAGCGCACTGCATCGCCCTGCATCGCCTATCATCCAGGAACGTCCCTCTATGTCCACCCACCTCATTGGTACGTCATATCCCTTGCCTCGTGGTTTGTAACAAGCATTGCAGCGCTATTACATGTCATTACGTATTCATAGCGCTTATTGCTCCTATCCCTTCCGCTTCCGATGTGATTTCCATAGTATAAAGTTTGCTGACTTACTACTCCATCATAATTACTCCCCTTTGCTGTACTTCCCTCGCTATTGGGTTTTACCTTAGAGTAGTAGTCACCACTTGGGCGCACTTTGTGTTTCCAATGGTTATCATTATCCGCCTATACTAGACCTTTATCCGCGCTCATTATAACACTCGCTCTGCGTTTGCACTCGCTTTGCACATCCGCTTCCTTGTCCGTTTCCTTATCCGGTATTTTCCACACAACGCGCGCCTTAGCGCTCACGTTCCCATGCTCGCGCTTACCTTAGTGCGCTCTCTCGTGCTTCGTGCTCACTTCGCTTTTCTTCTTGCGCTTTCGCGCATCCATCACACTTCAAGGGTCTTTCTTTCATCTGGTTCTGTGTTCAGTAGCAGTCCCCTTTAGGGTCGAACGTTCTTGCATTCTGCGAGTATAGCAGCTAGGCAGAGCCAAGACTCACTTATACTGGTTGAGCATTTTTAGATATTTCATATCAGCCCAGCCAGGTTGAGATCGCCTCACCTGGATCAGACTAGTGGACCGGATCTGATCAGCGGACCAGATCTGTGGACCGGATATCGGATCAATGGATCGGATCTGGATCTGATCTGAGATCCGAATGCATGGATATGACAAAAGGCATCAAAGATCTCTTAACTAAATGGTTATTGTAAGCACACATCACCATTGTCTCATGTGGAATATTGACAAAACTACAGCAGAGACTGATATCTTTGTACTGTCCCTCATTGCCCAAAAATCTGTTCAAACTGGTTCAAATAACTTTGGACCAGGTTCAAGAATTCCACAAGTCCTTGAGCTGTAGACTGGATTAATGGTTTAGTTCCTTCTATTGCATGAACTTTAAACTGGACTTTGGTCAGATTCTAAATGGTTTGGGTTCAATCTGTAGTTCAGAACTGGACCTGGCCACCACTAGATCTGTTTAATGGACATAGTAGCTGTTGTGACAAAGTAAGTCATTTCCTCCTCATATCATCTCAATGCAAATAATCTAATTTCACTTTACCATTAACAGCAAAATGCTGAAAGGTTATTAGTATTCTGTGATGGGACTAGCATGGATGGCAATTTGTTGCAGCATGGTAAAAAGATCATTTCTTATCCTTCATATTAACTAACAGATTGCAGAATATTGGTTGGCAATTTGATGTCCATTTTTTCTGCTGGAAGCTAATTTCCTAGACTAAATGCATTACTGCATATACTTGAGATACTATAGGTAGGAAATTTTATGGCTCCCCACTGTGGTCTCTACTCAAATAATGTTTAGTACTAGCGGCCACTGGTGGGGGTGGGAATTAGCAATTCCCAACCAATATCATCTGTCTTTGTAAGTTGTCACAGCCATTTCATAGAATCTGGCAATACAATAACTGCCAGCACAATATGTCAAATCTCAGGATGTGTGAGTAATTAGTTGATGATAGTGTAGAAATGGGAGGCATCAATTTGTGTGTTACCAAAGTGGAGTTGGTTTGAAGGCCAATTTTGAGGAAGCTTCAGTAACTAAGCAGTATGGTGTTCAGTGAGTAATACAAAGATGGAAGACTTCCCAAGCTTACAGGTCTATCACTCAACTCAGAGGGACTGGGAACCACTGTCAGTGAGTCCATCGTTCTTCTTAGAAGAGTGACAAGAATCTAATGGTTATAAATATTCTCTAGCAAACAAAATTTGAGATGCTTATGCATTTCTTGCTCAAAAAATTTGTGATGGGGATGAGATCTGTATGTTTGGGTGATTATTAACCCAATTACTTGGTCTCACATCCACCAATGATCATTTTATAGGTTTCCAGATGTCATTTTCCACACCTATTACCTAACCAGTCTTCAACCTCCAGATGACTGTTCAGAGGTGCCTTATAATACTGCCACAAAACTGTCTGTGTTAATTGTAAGTAACTCCCACTATTGCAAACTCTTCTGGAATTATATAAATGTTGTAGGATCATATTGGGTTGCTGGCGAAACAAGATCTTGAACAATTCTTTCTAATTTAGCATCCACTCATGCACAATAAGACTCCTATCATCACAGGTATATCAGCAGGTTTTGAGTATTCTGAGGCATAGTCCTTCATTCTGGCTCAAAAACAAAGAAAAATCATGCAAAACAGACCAGGATTGGGTGAGATGTGGCTGGAACAAGTTTTAAGCAAAACCCTGCAAAGCTCATCCCTCCACATCTGAATCTTTGAGAGAGAGTCAACCAATTTGCAAGGTTTTTGCATTTTGGCGCAAATTGGTTGACTCTCTCAAATATGCCTCAGAATACTCAAAACCCACTGATATACCCACGGGTAACCCATGCAGTTCCCTAAGTACAACCCTACACCAAACCTTAACGTCAGATGGGCAGGTTTGCAGGCTCATGGACACTGACTCAGGGATTATTTTCTAAGCTTCAACATGTTGAGCCACTTTCCTAATGTTTTCCTATACCAAGTAATCAAAGTTGCACTTTTCTTATCTTTTGAGCCAATGTTTCAGGTGTCTTTAACTTATATCGTGCTTGAATGATAGTTGATTGACAAAGACTACCAATATACTCAGCTCAACTAGGACTATGACTTTTGTTAAGGAAGTTAAGCACAATAATGACTTTCATTTTTTTTTCATTATCATTGATGTTTCAGGTTTCTTTAGCTTATATCTCTGTCAAATGTCAACTAATTGACAAAGTAAGACTTGTCATAGACTCTAGTTGACTAGTACTACAACCCTTGTTAAGAAACTTAGACATAACAATGACTTTTGAATTTTGTCAATATGTCTGGTACAGGTTTCTGAAACCCTTTCTTATAAGGCTCATAGTTTGCTCAAATTTCATACATTTGATAAGATAAGGGGCTCAAACATTTCATATTGATGAGGTCCATGATCTTGGACCAGTTGTGGGCCAGTCTGCAGCCAGTCCAGTTTTCTGCAACTGCACAAAAATGCAGTTGCTGTCAGTCCAGTCCAGCCTTTTAAATATCCCAGGATCAAGGCAACCATGGTCCAGTTGCCTCCAAAAGAGGGCAAAAGACCAGACCAGACCAGACCAGACCAGACTTTTAAACTCTAGCTCCACTTGACTTGCTCTTACTTATTGGTTTACTTGCTCTCTGTAGCGTTCCTAAAAGCCTCTATCTCAACAAGGCATCATTTCTCCATAGTTTCATTCCTTCTCTCATATTCTTTAGTGTTCCTGACTCTACAGTATTTAAACCCTGTTCATTAACTACTGGTAGAGTAGTTGATCCTTTTTCCCCCGAATACGATTCAGTTCGGACAGTTCTCCCTCGTTCAAAACCTAAGTTTATTCACTCGAAGTCAACTCTTACCGTGTGAACACTTTACAAGTGCCACACTCTCACAGCTCTTGATTCTTGTATCCAATTTTGCTTTTTGCTCTCCCCAATACCTGCGGACTCATCATGGACCTGTACCTATACCCATGCTATTGCCTAGTTTTTCCTGATGTAAGCCACCATTTATGGCAATCATGCAGTATGAGTATTGAGGAGGGAGAAGAAGAAGGTAGCATTGAAGCTTGGACACATGTAAGGATTCATAAAGTGCAGTAAAGTGTGATTTTGAGTGGGTAAAGTGAGTAAAGTACAGGACAGCAAGAAATACACTGTAAATTTTGTAAATTTCAAGATTCCGGGCAGGCTCCTCCCTGTGGATGTGCCCAGTGCCACATACTAGTAAATTTGCACATGTCCCTCTGAATCCATGCTTTCCGATGCTCTTCTGAATGTTATTTTCTCTTTTGTTTTTTTGTTCTGATGCTTCATAGATATATTAATGTAACTCTGGCTTTGATATATTGTGTTTCTCATGAAGATCATCAACGCTGAACTTCGACTTCGAGGCGTCAATGCGCTTACAAGGTCAGGTGCGCTGGAGAAGCTTGTCAGCGCCTGGTTTATGATCAGTCTTCTCTTCTTGGCCCAGAGCATCGAACACGGTGTCACGTGACTTGGTATGATTCCTGTTGTTTTGTCGAACGAATTGTCGGAGTCGGTCGGACGAATCGTTAACGAATCCCAAGGCTTTACAGAATTTACGTTACCTAACAGCAAATTTTTTCAGATATCTCGACTTCTTGTCCTGAAGTACGAGCTCACAAAAGGAAACAGGAAACATATCAATAATCAGAGATTGCACGATAACGAGCTATGTCTCTAAATTCATTGATACCTAAGGCTAGATATACTTGGATTTGATTTGTTTGATTTACAGGTACGTGTAGCGGAGAAGAGAGATTGTACATGTATCCATGTGTACAGTGTAAAAGCAGATAAGTTGAGATGCAATGCTATAACCTGACCAAAAAATAGATATTATATGTAGGTGACCATTGAAGATAGCAGGCATATACGCGACACAGTTCACCGCCACCATGGAGGAGGACCAGATGTTCCGGGTCCTCCAGGCCTCACATAGCTGCTGCGAGTCGAACTGCTTCTTGAATCTAGCCCGCTATCTGTGTTGAAAGATCCAAAGTGCGGTGCAGCTGCATTGTTGGGATGCGCGGTTCCATGAGGTCGGCTCCCCAATGAACCCACGTTGGTCCGTGTTGTGCCATTGAAAGATTGTAATTCACCTGTCGCCAGGGAGTATGAGTCTAGTATGTTAGATGTGGTAGACGTAGATGATGATGACGACGACGATGACGACGATGACGATGAGCCGGCGGACTGAGGAAAAACTGCGCTAGACATGACACTAGATGATGGAGACGTTCCAAAGGTGCTCCGCGGAGCTGGTGCAGCATCATGAAAGCTAGAAGTTGCACCTATGAAACCCGTTCTTCCGATTTCATAATCGACTTCCATTGGAGAAGATGGGAAATGTGGGCCGTTATCCTGTGTTGTTTCAGGCACTCGACGAGCACTAGCTCGATTTGTCATTGACCCAAACCAGGAAGTCGGGCGAGAAAGTGCTGGGCGACTTGACATATTAGGACGAGGTCCGCTGACGTTCTGGACAGATGGGAAAGTGCGGGGTGCCGTACTACTCTGAGCTGCACTGGCAGTTGAGCTGGGAGATTGATGATAAGGATCTAGGAACTGTGAAGCGTGGGATTGCTCTGGACGTGGTGGGTGGATGTGGAGATAATGGTGATGATGGTGATGGAAATGAGTCCCATCACCATTAAACCTTGTCGCCGCCACAGGCTCAGCAGGAGTACCAACAATCGTTTGGACACGGGACAATGATTGTTGCTGGGTACTACTTCCGGATTGGGCATTGGACCCTCGGCGAGCGCGATTGAGGAAATCACCAAGACGCATGGCAACGACCCCAGAGGTAGAGTCTGAGCTCGATGCCCGGCCGTGATTGCTGCTTGCTCCTACTTCAGGTTCTCTTGACCCCAACCCACCAGCTCTCGCACTTGTCATTATGCTTGCCTTATACGGGCATTTCGGAGAATCCTTGACCTTTTTGCGACATACAGGGCAAGTATTCGCTGTCTTGAGCCATTGCTGGAAGGGTAACTCGTCAGCAAGCGAAAAAAGACAGAAGAAGCCAAGTATACCTCCAAACAAGCCTTATGCAACCAATGGGTACATTCAACAAGCTTCATGACAGGATCGTCGCGCCCATACTGCAGAAGAAAGGTGAGTATGATACGTCACTGAATCAATTTGACAGATACGTGCATCATCCAAACATATTGGACACCGTGTCTCGCTATCTTCCTTAGCCCATGCATGATAGGTCCCGGTTGGAAGCGAGGCAATGACGTCGGTAGGCGTGGCTTTCGACCTGACTTCCCCAAGCGTTTCGCCTAGCGACAACAATCCCTCATACGACGAGTCAAATAACTCATCCGGCTTCATCCGAAAAGACAAACATGAGGAATATTCCAGCAAACACAGCACAGCACACACACCATATAATCGCCCATATTTCTCCTTGCCATCGAACGAAACATTGAACGAATACGAGTACCCTCTGCTCGGGACGTTCCGCGTGTGAGTCCAGCCCGCTGCCTCAAGGTACGAATGGGCGTTCGTTCTTCTGGTGGTGCTGCTTCCTGCCGCTCTCGAGGCCGGTCTGTAGTGTTTCGGTATGGATTGTGGGTGATGGTAGCGGAACTACTGGAGGTGGATGACAATCCGGAACTTGTTGGAGTAGAAGAACCTTGAAGCAGTGGAGACCGCCATGGAAGTAATGTGAGGCGATTAGCATTCCCAGGTCTTCCAGAGGGTCCCTGGTGAGGCTGAGAAACGTTGCGCCTGGAGGCCAAGTCAGATCGTTCGTTGTTGGGACCATATCGCTCCATCATGTCACGCGTTGTTCTCATTCTTTCATAGTCACGATCCTGGGCTTGCATTAGTGACTCCCATGAAGCGTGGGACCCAGGGTTGTGTGCGGGGGCATCCCGCCTACTGCTAGACCAGAATGGATCAAGAGGCGAACTTTGAACACCTCTCTCTGCTTCATTCAATCGATGCCTCGCAAGATGTTCATCGCTGGACTGTCCTCTCAATGGAGGGACGCGGCTTCGTAAACCAGTGAAGGCGTTATTACCCTGCGTGGATGAGTCGTGAGAGTCGATGCCAAAAGCCAAGGATGTTGCTGAAGCAGCAAGCTCTGGCATCATATGCCTCGATGTAAACCGTGCGCTGCAGTATTAAGGAACATTCAGCAAATGGTTCGATGGGAGTTATACATAACACTGACCTCGCGGCTGCTGTGCTTTCCCTTCCACGCCTTGGCTGCACAAATATGTCAGTGCCAAATACGTCATGTGATCTATTGAAGGGGACACACCAAGTTACCAAAGTAAGATTCCATGTCATCGCTATCATTATCCTCATCCGAGTTGCCGAATGAAAACATAGTGGAAGGTTCGTGAGTGGGAGGCGTAGGCCCTGGCTCTGACACACGGGAATCACCACGTCCTCGGTTCGCTTGTATCGACCGCTGCAACGAATCGCGGTATATTCCAGGCGGGAACAAATTCAAGTTAACGCTGCTAAAAGGATGAGATCTCGCAGATGTGTCACCATTAGACACCTGTGGTCGTTCCGAAGACACGCGCGGTGGAGAGCGCGAACGAGAAGTACGCAAGGTGTGAAGAGGTGGTGTGGGCGGACGGTAAACATACGGTGGTTGTGCGTCTCCCTCCACTGAGTTTGTTAAACCCGGAATAGTGTTGATCGTGGCGAACATGGGGTCAAAGATGCTGTCGGGTGAGCTTTCAGAAGAGAGGTGATTGCGGTCTCCTGACAAAGATCTATTATTCCCACTTCTTGTCTGGGGATGTCTGTGTTCGGATAAAATCTCTGAAAATCGGACTCTCTCCCATTCGTTCAAGCCCCCTCGTGGAAACTGAGAAGCTGACCCAGAACCGCTTAATGAGAACGGTCTTGAAGGAAGATCGCTTGTTCGACCAAACGACAAAGGGCGGGAAGATGTATTCGATGAGGAGTCCGCCCGACTGGCCATAAGACGCCTCAGACGAGTAGCAGCAGTCAAACTTGAAGTGTTTGAACTGTCTCGAGGAGGCCCGTCAGAGTTGGGACGTGAATCAGACAATTGGGAGCGAAGATGCGCCCTGGCGTTGGTACGGCGATGTTCCGCGGCACTCTCCTGACACCAACGAGTTGCTGGACACTGTCGTAGCAGGAAGCATGCAAGCGAGAATGAAAGCGGTAGCGAGCCGGAGGAGGATTGGGTGGCTCATATCGGGAAGGCGACCCAGACAATGAACGGGCTGGTTGACAAAGATTAGTGAATATGGGTTGGATAATGCGCTGCACCTTACCAGTTTCTACACCACGCTCGAGTAGACCGCGGGCATTATGAAGACCTTGGATGAGCTCATGCACACTGTCTGGATGGGAGGGGTCGTCATCGTCTTCATCGTTTTCGCCGGCAACATCGTAACGATTATCAGCCGTCACCCTGCGCCTTCTCTCTTGGTGGATGGAATCCTCTTCGCCGAGACCCACTAAGTAACGATCAAATGACAATTCTGCTTCGTCGGAATCTTCGACTGCCTGTTCTCTGGAAAACGAAGGAAAAGCGTCCGAGAGAGGGCGAACTGGCGGCATTTGTAAACAACAGGAAAGAATGGGCTATAAAAGCCATACCTAAGTTACGCGAACGTTCGATGACTGTTCTAGCACGCGCAGCAACTTCTTGGTATCTGTCAGTAGAGCGAGAAGGTGATGGGTTATAGTCCTGGATTGTATTCGAAGTACCCCCGGTGTCGTTCCTCGTCAGCAGCATAGAAGCGAGAAATGGAGTCTCCGAGCACTGGAACAATAGTAGCTTTTAGTTAACATGATCATCACTTGTGTGGGACAGAGCACCGACCAGAGGGTGACGCAGAAGTGCTTGCTGACGTACGCGCAGAGCTCATGGATCTCCAGCTGACATCTGAATGGGTAGTACGTCTTGCGGCCTGCGGGCTAGCAGCCAGATCTGAAAGTGGTACCTCGAATACGCTGTCAAGTAATCCTGGACGTGTGACTACGTCTGGCAACGGCGAAACTGGCGGTGAACGGGGGGGAGCAAGAGCAGCCCATGTCAAATTGGATGAGCCAGAGCTTGGTACACGATTGACACGTTGCCTGTTGACTACATCTGGCGACGATGCAACGGGTGGTGAAGGACGGGAAGAGGCAAGAACAGCCCATGGCAAATTTGATGGCCCAGAACTTGACCCATGATGGACACCTTGACTGTCGTCGGGTCCATTTAAGGTGTCAGTATTGTTTCTTTCAGTTTGCACGACTGACGATATGGAGGCGAGTGATCCCCTGGGAAACTCGTCAGATTCTCGGATAGATGCGTTCGCCCTCGCTGATGAAGAGATTGATGGGGATGGGCGGTATGACGGATGAGGAGAGGTGTTCGATGAACGTGTAAGAATGGGAGGTATCACTTGATGATGTAGGATAGCCGGGACGTGATGATAAGCCTGTCAGTGGGTAGTATGTAATCAGTGCTAATGTGTATGTAACAGATCAAAGAAACGCTTACCATCTGGTGCTTGGAAAGATAACGAGTCGGCCCGTCTGGGAACCGCAGTGTGTGTGCTCCCAGATCCAATTGAAGTAGTTGCATCAGTGAAATATTGACCTCGGCGATCCTCCCCAGATGTGTGTGATGAGCCCGGTGAAGCTCCAAACCGAGTCCAGTCCCAGTTATCAAATGTTTCGGTAGTATCATTTGAGGATTCGCGTGGGGACAGAACGGGAGATGCGGTAGGGTGCCAAGATGGAGTACGTGAGTGCGAACGCCGGAGGGCTGCAATGTGACTATCAAATTCGTTGAAACGTTCTATGGAGTTTCTAAGAGCGTCATGTACAGTAGAAGACGCTACTTCTGGCGGAGGCGCGGGACGTGGGATGTCCAAGGAAAAACCGGAGCTATCTGACATGTCCTCATCCTGAGGTTCGACCACGGTACTCGGTAGCACAGACGTTGGTGAGACCAAAGTACTCGAAGTAGAGACAACGGCGGGAGATGGATAAGCTGTGGATCTCCTGTTCTGGTCAAGAGAAAGGTTATGGTCGTTGGTAGTCGAGCCCTCGCTCAGCGAGGCGCTCGATCGCGCAGAAACGTACTCGGAGGATCTGGAAGAGTCTGCAGAACGATTGCTGACAGAGGAGCTGCTGGTACTCCTTGCCCTCTTGTTTCTTTCATTGCCACTACTGCTGCCACTGGAACTTGTCGGAAGATTATGGGTTGCTGTGCCACTCCCGCTGGCTTGGAGAGCGCTAGTCATTGGAGAGCCTGAATCGTAGCCAAACTGTTCGAACGTCCGCTTGAACGAGGTTGCATTTGGTGCGAAAGAGACATGAAGATGGGAGGGATACTCTGAAGACATGAATGTAGACCACAAGGTCCACAGAGAAGAACAAAGGAAAGGGGGTCCTAGTCACGTAGTGATGGTAATAATTACAAGTCCCACCCTTAACGGGCATATGTATGGCTGAGTCAATTACAAACCCTTAGTTTCAACTCTCCGATTCCGATCATCGTCATCTCTTGAGTCATCAAAATCGCTCCTCGTCGAGCGATGGAATTTGAGCTCATCGCAGGATCCGGTGCACAATACGTGTCTCTGTCAACGGGTAACAACTCAATTCGCATGATTGCAACGAGGAGCCATTTCCTAGAATAGCTCTGGTCCGACGTGTAGGACTCAACTTGCAAGGTATGATGCGTTGGTGCTCCATTACCGTGCGCAACGTTATCACGTCCGACGTTCTACCGTAACACCATTCCATCCGAAATGCTTTGATTTTGGGCGCCTCGGCTGCACAAATTGGATGGTGAGACGTTCGGCGTTGCAGACGGCCATTAACATTACCATACTTTAGGTTCCAAGCAGTTCTGGGCAGCGGTGCAGGCATTCTATGTGATTCCTTACATGCTGGTAGCATTGCTGCACAGGATTTGAAGTATTCGAAAGAGAACACGGTGCGGTGTCAACGTTCAACATCACAGCTGGCAACACTTCGCCTGTTGATTAATTTGTATTCACAATCAATGCGCCGTCCTCGGCCCTGACAATGATTAAGTGCATAGTCACCCGCTATACGTGTTGCAATTATCGTAAGTCGGACGTATCAGTGTCACAGCGTCCACGGCTAACTTTAAGCAGCTCCTGCGGAATGATTCAACTGACAAAATGGAATCACTCGTTGCATATTATGATACAGCTTCGTCACGATTCAGGGTGTGTACGACACAAAGTTATAGTAATCTCGAAATATAACTTTAATTTGCCAACAGTCACTGTTCATTTTAATTAGAAACCCAGTGACCTACACTGCCGTTGCATTTCACCAGGACATGCCAACTTGGCAGCATCATGCATGCAGAGAGGCGTAGCTCTCCTACGCCTTAACTCGATGAATCGAATTTTTCCGAGTAGGCCACAGTTCTTGCGCGCTAACTCTGTGTATTGCTGTTGAACTTTTGATAATTATTACGTCAGCACAACCCTCTATGTGACAACTCACTTTTATACACCTGCCCAGTAAGCACGCTGACAATGGTAAGTGCTATGCCCGCAAAAGAAGCCGCTAGGATTATTCCGACCATATATAGTTTCAAAGAGGTTTCGTCAATGTTGAACGTTCTAAACGTGCAAGTATCGGATAATCCATCGTTTGCTGTAGTAGGTGCCGTTACCAAGGTCCCGGTCGGCGCAGTCATCATTACTGAACACCGGACATGAAGTTTACGCAACGATTTAAACAGGGCAGACTCACTGCTGGTCACCGATCCTGCGGCAGTCGCAGCCACAGAAGCCGTGCATCCAGACTCCAGCAAATTCGAGGAAAGATTGATAAAATGACAACTGCTTCCCGTAGAGGAAGAATCCGGGTAAGTCCCCATCTGCCTAGAAAGCAAATCCCTGTTGATTTACGAATACACGATGGACGCGGAATGACATACGTGATGACAGAGGCCCCGGCAATGGATGCCCGTCGTGCCGTATTAGATCTTGCAGGTGCAGCCCAGATGATGATGAAGGTATGAAGTAAGAAGAATATCATTAAAAGTTTCATGCAGGGCAGGCCAAGGGATCTGGGGTGTGATCTTAGGCGCGTTCAATGGTTGACACTTGTCCGGCTTTTGAAGCAGTAAACGATCATACGCGACGACAACGCTATGCGGATGGCACGTACGGGGCGGGACTTGATAAGCATTCCACATTGTCAGTGGCATGGCATGTTGGTTAGCTGTCGTAGTAGCTGCCGCGCTCCGAAGCACTCATACGTGTACTAGTGGTTGGTGAACGTGCGAGATTGATAGAGGTATTTCTGCCACTCTATGCTGATACCGTCCTAGCTACCTTATCTGATATTAATGTGAAACTTGCTGTAGCATCTAGACTCTCCTGAACTCAAGAATCAAAACGCAGATCGACTTGGTCGGGAATTTCCTTTATCTGACATCTAGACCCACAGAACGTTCTATCATAAGACGCCACTAAGTATCAGCATTCCAAAGTCGACCAGCCGTGGACATCGGCGCGATACACTTAAACCGCGGACTCGGATTCCTCACAAGCAAGGTTCCGAATACTTACGCAGTACCGGGAACGTGATCACATGACGCCACAGCTCGCTTGTGTTTCTGCCTTCCTAATCTAATGACATGGTTTCCCAATGATGATCAAATGTTTTTCAAGACACATTGTAAAACATAAGGACGGTATAAGGCTTTTATCACCCTGCTTGACCTGATCAGTGGAGTCAACTTATTGTCTAGGCGACACTGCTAGATCAGGAGGTACTTAGTGCTGCAAGACTCTGGTCACGGGAGAGGCTCTGAGAGCGTGTCAATGAAATTGGCACACGGAGTCCGTGGGGCCCCGGGGAAGCCAGGCTTTCGGTTATTTTGCTGTCATTCTACCGGTTCGATAACTGGGCCTTACAATTACTATAACCTAACACATGACTGACTCTGTTACTGAATTCAAATCTCTGGCGCCCAGTATTGGTTGATAGATACATTCCCACTATGCAATAACAAAATACCAAAGCTATCTCTCTTGGTAGCAAGTCTAGCTCAGACGTGTATACAGATATATTTATGTACACTATGTGTGTAGATACCGATGCCAATGTGAGAAACCATATATGCCACTAGATAACCAAGCCAAGACGAGCTCAGCCACATCGAGACGTTCCGTGTAAGATTACAATGCCCATGAGAAAGAAAACACATGCATACTTGCAAGAATGCAGTACCCTCCGTTGCGCCAAAAAACCCATCATCAATCAAAACGGCGACCGCGATGGCTCCCACACCTCGGGGAACTGGTACCACATAGCTGGCAGCTGACACAGCTCGACAGCCCCTCCTTTGCTCCGACTGATTTCGAAGTCCAGCCACGCATCCTGGTAACGGTGGGTCCCTGCGCGTTTCCTGTACTCAAAACCGACCTTGCCGAGCAGCTTGAGGCCCATCGCGAGGTCCTTGGCACAGTCTTTGCGTACTGTGCGCCATGACTCCAATTCGTCGACATCATCGTACTCTGGGAATTGCATGCAGATGCGCAGGTCTCGAAGAGCAGATAGAGGGGACAATGCTTCGAGGAACTCTTGCTGCGATGATCGCACATGCCAAGATCAGCCCATGTTTAGCATATATTTTTGATCAAGCCTGAGTGGACACACGTACCCAGCTTGATACCGATTTACCATCGTGGTAACCACACCGCTCGATCTCTAGCGTCTGAAGGTGAGGGCAGTTGGAGGTGATGGACCAACACACGTTGGGCGTGAGCTTGTCCTCGATGATAATGCGCAAATGGTGGAGCTCACAGCTGCTCGCAGCAACATCCGCGAGCACACGGTCAACCTCTGCTTGGCCAAGCGCAATGGGCCAACGAGGAAGATCTACGATGGCGAGAATGGCAAGTCGCTGGAGAGATGACATGTGATTGAGAATTCCGTCAAGCTTGCAAGCGTTTGATATGGCGAAATCAGTAAGAGTTGCGAGCTTTGCTATGTGCGCCGGATCAGGAGGATCATCGTGCCCAAGGATGTGAAACTCCTGAGCTTTGCTTTGTGCGAAGAGTAGACGCAGGTCCCCCAACGCATCCATACGTGCAAGCACGTTGAAAAGCTGCACATGCGCTGGCGGCTCATACGGCTGTGTAACCGGAACATTACCGGTCAGCGCAAAAGTTTTCAGAAACGGCCAATCTATTCTGGATAGAGCACCAAAAGAGCACAAACTACCGGACAGCTCGAGATGTGTGATGTGCGCTGCGTGCGTCTTGATGAATGCGATGGAGGCTTGTGTTTCTTGGACCTGCCTCCAGCTGACCTGGGAGCGATACTTCCTCCTCCAGTCACGTATGAAGTATGTGATATCAGAAAACCTTGGTTCTGTCGGTCCATCACCAACGCGAAGTGTCTGCCCAACAGCTGTAAGGGAGATCTGCTTGAGCGTAACGGGGGAGATGGACGTTATGCCTATTTGAATCGGCGTGTCGATGAATGTGATGGCGCTAAGGGATCGCGAGAGACCCAATGATTGAAAGAGGGACCGGGGTACGACGAAGGGGCAGCATAGTGTCACCTTCGACAGCTTGGGCATTTTGGCGATCGCCGAATTCAATTTGACCAGATCGCAAGGGACATAATTACCATCTTTGTCCGTCGTTCCCCACTTGAGGCGACTGGGTTCTGTCCATTCATCAAACCATTCTAGCCGAAAATGCCTTGGCGCCGAAAATCACGGTGAATCCTGATGCTACGGGAGGGGAAAACGACGACGATGGACTTACCTGATATATGGCCAGAGGCCCTCAGGGAAGAAATGAAGGCCAGATTCCTCGTCAGCCTTGGATTTATGGGGCCACCGAACCTCAGAGAAGAGGTAGGGGAGGCACGACTCGCGGAAAGATCGACTTGTGCTGGCAAGTGTCAATAGCGCAGATGGCGCACCTCCATTACTAGACAACAGATCGTTGATGAGGATGTGCGTTATGTCCGCGTTCAAGATCGACATGACGGGACGAGAAGGATATCTCGTATACACGGTGTAAAAATTGGGGGAGGTATTTGGACTGAATGTGTTGGGTGTGCAAGGCGATTAGAAGCCTTGTTACCTGGAGTAAAAATTTCTGGGTGCAGTGAGGCAAGAAGACAGGTGGTCAGCACCGTGCATCCTGAAGCCTTGTATGGTGCTGTAACGTACAGACGAGTATCTCGGAAACCGCGAACTTAAAGCGCACGTTTGGCTAGGACCCCGTTGCCTTTGAGGACAACTCTAGCTATGTTGGTGGTTGATCTTCAAGCTGCATCTTGCCTGTAAATATGGCGAAGTTAGTCTGAGAAACGCCCAAATGACTGTCAGATCAATCGTGCCGAATTCACAGGCTCTAGACTTAGCCGAGACTTCGCGGTCTAGATCAACACCCAAGCCCAATTTCGGGCCCAGCCATTCGTCGGACAAATACAAATTGTGCTGCCCTTACGAGCGACTTACGAAAATATGAATCAATGGATGACCACATCAAGTCCCCCTTTCCTGGAGGCCACGTCTAATTTGATCTAGATGAACGAAACCCGCATCCACGCCGGAATAAGAATTAGAAGCCTAAGGTTGAAGTCCCCACTTCATGTACAAATTAACTGCCAGGGTTCATGCTATACTCAGCTTACAACACACTCATGCCTCCAGACCGTCATGATTTCCAGATATTCCACCTGATTCCACTATCATCAATTGGACGCATACTTCTCCGTCCATTCCCTGCTGACTCTTTGTGCGTCCTTCTCATCCTCCTTGTAGTGCTTGGCAACATCGGTGGCCAGCGGGTCGTCAGGATTGGGCGCACTCAGCAGAGCTTGTATCGACAATAGGACTGTCCGAATTTGCAATGCAGGGGACCATTTGTCTACAATGCAGTAGTGTTCAAATCGGCAGGGACCAGCGCAAGGTACCCGAACGCACCTTTCAAAATATCTAAACAAATTCTACCCAGTTTGTCTGCAATAACGAAACATATTTAGATTGCGCAAGCACTATGGCAACCTAAGAGCTCACCGATGTTTGGGTGGTATATCTTTGTGAGAAACCGCACCTTCGGCGGACTCATGGGATATTCCTCCGGCAGGAATAGTTCCAAGTGAAACACACCCTCTTACCGGACGTTTCAGCAGTCCGACAATGCATCATCTATAATCTCGGCGGCTCACGTTGGAAGGGACTGCCATCAGGCCCTTGAATCGTTACATCAAAGTAACGCAGGTTGTCCTCATGCGGCGCAGCAGTGATTCCAGGCGCGGGGTCTGCGACGAGGCGCTCAGTTTCCTATGCGAAACAATGGAGAATAGATGAAAGAGACATGGTTAGGGATGGCTGACTACTGGGAAGATGCTGTGAATATGATTGAACACACCTTGATAATCCGCTAGATAAGTACCAGATCATGTTCAAAACATGTTATTTCAGAAAATGATAATGAACACCTGCCTTGGGTAGAGCCATATCTAGGGCTCAAGGACAGGTCGTGCACGGTGGTAGATAATGAATGAGATGGAAACGAGATTACATGGCCTACTAAGGAGTCCATATACGGTAGCTTATTCTCACACCATCAACGTCCAAGAATCAGCTTGGCGGCTATGGCCTTCGCCACACACATCACTGAGCTCATAATGTCCAACGATGTTCATATGGATGTAAAATGATGTATCGAATACTACGAACTTGTGCTGATTGGTGGCATTCTAGGATGCAGGCGCTGAAAAGCGGGATGACTGGGTAAAGATCACCAGTTCAGACGGCTACTCCTTTCTCGTGAAGCGAAGTGTCGCTGCGATCAGTGGCACACTCAAAAACATGCTTAGCGAGGACAGTGAGCTCCCATTCCTTTTGGAAGCTTGCTGTGGTATCCGAACTATTACGCATTATAGGTAGTTTCAGGGAGGCAATTGCCAACACATGTCCGATCAGTGAACGGTGGGTGGCGACCGACCCATTTAGGAACCCCGCTTTGTCTTCTAATGGCCGAAATAGCGCTGCTGTGGTCGAGAAGGTCTGTGAGTACATGTCCTTTAAGGCCTACTACGAGGGGCCTGGATCCAAGGAGGGTGTTGATGTGAATGAGTTCACCGAACGCATACCACCTGAGGTGGCGCTGGAACTGTGTGTCACATCGTTACTTGTTCCATTATGATCTGAATCAACGTGCGTCGATTAGGCTCCTTGCGGCTGATTATCTAGAAGGTGTGCTTGATTCCTCTATATGGGGTTTACTGACCGTCGAGCACCATGCAGTATAAACTCTTTCAGACATTCATCTCAAGTAGTTGCACAACATCCTGTAGGCTAATTGTGGTCGAGCTGCCTGTATTGTATTTCATTCGTTAAGTGATGTACCAGTGTGGGCGTCGAAACAGGAATCAGAGGTATCCTTCTTGGGCGTTGCAGTCTAGGTCATCATGTCATACATAGATCGTCACGCAGTCTCAAATCTCTTCAAAGGCATTGGTTTCCCGGTTACTTTCCTCCCGATCGCGACACGCTCAGCAATTCGCTCCACCGTTCCGCTCTGAAGACCGTCTTCATCGGGTTCCTCTAGTGCCCGGCGGATCAATTCCTCCATACTCACCCCGTCAATGTCGCCACTGCCGCGGCGCCGCATACTTGGTGCTGGCACCACAGGGAAGTCGGTAACCGAATCCGTTGGTTGGAATATCGGCAGACGCTCATTCAGCAGATCTGAGCGGCGACTATACGAGTGTAACAGATGAGAAAATGTCCGCGACGGGAGAATTGACAATAGTACTTACGCGTCGGCGAAGCTGCGAATATAGTGCCTCATCTGTGTGCCTTGCGCTGTAAGCAAATCTGACCCGACACGGCCCAAACCAGCAATAGCCTCTTCACCCGCGACTGTAGCCAATTCCGATGCGTTCTCGGCCTCCTCGCTGCAGCCAGCCAAGTGAGTATCCCGCACTAAATCAAATTGCAGAAATCACGGACCGAAGAAGCTGGAAGACCCGTTGCATCTTTCCAACCGCAAGAATCTTGTTCTTAATCGCCTGCCTACGTGCTGCAACCTCGGAAGGCGGCAGGGCAAGGTCCGTAACGGCCCTGCTGGCTTCATCTCCCTCTTCGATAGAAACTTCGGTGTCTTCTAACTCTTCTGGGCTGCATGTTGCCAAGATCGCGAGCAACATCTCTGTGACTGTAAACTCTACCGTAAACGAACCCTGATTTGTGAATTCGTTCTAGCTTACTTTTAGCACCGACGAAAGGCAGGCTCCACGTAAATCCATCCATGAAATTGGGAAGCCAGTACGGATGAGAACTCGAGTTGTACTGGCGGATAGTGATGTTCTTGTTTGCATATTTGATCACTGCTCCGCGGTTGTGATATACATCCAGGTAGTTCGGCGCAGAAAATACTGTAATGACGGAGGGAAACTTCTTCGTCGGAGTCTTTCTATACATCATGTACCTGAAATTATTGTTTCAGTAGAGCGATACACACCCTAATCAGAGAACTCCTTACCCTGCATCCTGAGCTTCGTGCCCACGCACAATCCCCAGCAAGTTATTGCGCTCCAGGAATTTGCATGCCGCCTCGTAACTTTAGTTAATTCAGACTAGGAAATGACCTGTCGCACATGGCCACTTACGTGAAGAAGTATGAGCACCCTCGCACCCCGTTATGCTCGAACGTGGTGCCAGGAGGCAGGGGCGGCCCATGCTGTGAATGCTCGTGTTCATATCCAAAGTTAACCACAGGATCAGACCATAACAGGTCACACAATAAGCCACTCGATCCAGGCTCCTGGAACCGGTCAAGCTACGCCTTGGGTGAGTCTGGAACGCACTCAAGTGAATCACAGGATTAAACAGACCCTACGCAAATCATCCAAAGTTACCAACTCTGGCGAAAGGCCCCCGTGGACGCAGAAAAAAGCGGTTATCTACGAGCGCTGAGACTGGAAGAGCGCAGAATGAAGCTATACATGCATCGTACACCGCTGGTGAATATTTATGGAGACCTATGATCGCATCGTAAGCAGCATATCATGCAGGCCGTCGCATGAGAGCTCACACTCTCGTTTGAAAGTGAAGTATTCCGTTAGATGTCGACATTCGTGATTTCCTCGTAGTAGCGTAATGCGCTTTGGGTATTGGAGTTTGAGCGCATATAGATAAAGCAAACACTAGGCCAGGATCAGAACGCAGATTCTGCAAAGGATCCAAATACTTACTTCGATTCCAAAATTTCCACGATCAACATAATCGCCGAGGAATAGATAGGCATTATCAGAAAAATTTCCACCGATCTCCAGCAATTTCATCAAATCATACTGTCCCCACCCCAAAACCTTAGTACAGGCAAGCAGAATGGAAACGCGGATAACGCACGTATTGCCCATGGATATCCCCGCATACTTGAATCATTCAGCTCACACGCCCACTTGTGACCCAGGCCGGACTCACTTGTCACAGGACTCTCTACGTTTACAAGGTTAGGTTCTTGAGTCAACATCGAGGTCGCCTGTTGGAGAATATACATAGCCTGGGCCTCGGTCAGACGACCTTCGTGGAAGAAATGCTGCTTCAGAAAATCTGCATTGGGGAGCAGTGCTCCGTATGCGGTGCTCATGAAAAACTGCTCGTCTGTAGGCTGGTATCCCACAGGTTGTGTTACCTGTGAAAGAATGAGAAGATTAAATTTTTGTATTCTGTTCGTAGTTCGACTCAGACACTGACGTTCGGTACTGCGCGATCTTTGTAACTTACTCCGGGCGCGTTACTCCACTGGGGAGTTCCCCCAGGAATGACTGGATCCCGCTCAGGGATCTGGTATAAGCTAGACTGGAAGTACTCTTGGTTGCTGCCCGCCATAGGTTGTGAAGGAATCTATGCGCCAAAATTGCGCTATAGGTAGTGAAAGGTGGAGTCAGTAGTGCTCGTACTACACGGTCGACTACAACATACACTGGCACAAGACGGATCTAATTATGGACAGACGCCCAACTGTCAACTGCAAGCGTCAAACCTTCAAAACATTAATAATATTGCGCGTGTACCGCGCCCATGAGCTGGTCGTCTGGGCGAATGATACAGCTGATAAGGTCACTATCGGTTAATAAGCTGCACACCGGCAGACACCTGTGTCTGGAGGCGCATGATATTTCAATCACTGATATTACATAGTTTTTACTGGATCATGTAGCGTACTACAACCCCGGAAAATGTCACAGAAATACAAGGCGCAGACCCCGCCGATACGTTTAATCAATGGGTATCCCGTCATACTCGTCGTAACCAAGAGCAAGGTTCAAATTCTGTCATGAAATCAGATTGCTGACACCTCCCGGGTTATCTTTGCGGAACGTACCTGCAAGCACTGCGTTGCGGCGCCCTTGAGAAGATTGTCCAAGCCACCCTGAATGCAGTCAGCCACATGTGACATGTCCTGGGATACAAACATACCACGACAACAGCTCGATCGCCTTCGCTGTGGACTTGGAAACCTCCTACAGTCCAGCCGTGCTTATTCTCGATGTCCGACAGTCCTGGAACGCTCGCTTTGACATGTATCAACTTCTCTCCACCATACTTCTCTTCATACAGGGCCTTGACATCCCGTGCAGTAACCTTCTCACTAAGTGGTACGGACAATGTCGAAATGATACCGCTGAACCAAGGCCCGACAGAAGGTATGAAGGCAACTTTCATGGGATTGGTGGGATCTGGGAGCAGACTGGTTAGGTGACGGCCTGCTTCGCGCTCGTGGATGTGGTCTGTGAGCGAGTACGGACGGAAACCACCAGCGAGGCTCTCTGGTGTAACCTTGGGCACTGTCGTCGGCTTGCCATTTGCGTCGTTCGTGCCTGCGACGGTCCCAGCACCGCTGTACCCTGAGATGCCAAACACCGTAGGCCCGCTCAAATTATTCACGTACTTCAGCAATGGCGCGATAAGCAGTTGTGTGGAGGTGGCATAGCATCCAGGATTGGATATTCTCTTCGACTTTCGGATGCCATCACGCCCGTAGAGCTCTGAGAAAACCGCGGAAAGAAAATGGGAGCAAAAAATACATGTAAATTTGGGAGTTCAACAGGGTATTTACACAGACGCCTCACCAGGCAACCCATACTTCCACCCGGATTCGAAACGGTAGTCCGCGCTCAGGTCGACAATGACACTTGATTCACCGGAACTGCGCACCTTTGCGCCACGGTCAATTGCATCAACAAATGGTTTGCAGACGCCGTTGGGGAGCGCCATGACCCACGCATCAACTTCCCCATCCTTTTCCATGCGTTCAACGTCCTCAACGGACAGGTTGCTGTGTGTGATTGAGGACTTTTTGTATTCCTGCAATGGGTATCCTGCCAGCTGTCGAGACGATACATGCGTGAGATCGATGTAGGGATGGCCAGAAAGAAGGCTTATAAGAGCCTGCCCTGTGTACCCGCGCGCTCCGATCAAGGCGAGGCGCTTGGGCTCAGTAGATGTGGGCTGCGAAGTGACAGCAGTTGCATACCCCCGAGAGCCGGAAGGTATTTGACGACGGGCAAGGGTAGAATAAGACCTAGTGGCACCGGGAAAAGCACGTTGAGGGGGAGCAGACGGTCCTACGGGCAAGTATGCCCTTTCAAGCCTGCCTTTGGCTTCGAAATCCTTGACAATCTTCTGCACCTCAGCAACATCCTGCACACCATACCAGAACAAGCTCTTGCCAGCACGCGTGAAACTTCCATCAGCGCGCTCAAAGTGCCAGGAGCGGTTGTCATCGTCGACCTTCGCAGTCCAGAAGAGCTTGCGATGATCTTTTTTGATAGCATTGAAAACGTTATCAACGACATTGTTGAGAACTCCGCTGCGAGAGGCGAGAAGCTTCGTCATGACGGGCACTTCACCTTCAGGGTGGGTGACAATGGCGACCGCGTCGAGGGGCTCATCGCCGTAAATGGTATACGGTGTCTTTTGGAGGTCGCTAAGAACACTAGTGACGCTCGAGACGCCAGATTGCACCTCAGGATCACGATCGTGAATGACTTGGCGGAAGCGATCAGCGCCGACACTTTCGATGCTGTTGTGTTTGAAGAGCCGGTAACCGCGGCGGATTAGGGTACCAGCACCACTGTCGGTGAATAGCTCCCTCTGCAAATTGTCGGCAGAGATTACAGCAACAGACGAGGAGCGGGGTAGGTGGTCAAGGAGCTCCTTGAATTCACGCAGCTTGAGCTTGGTGCCGTACTTGACCCACGGCTCCTTCATGAGCTGTTCATACTCCTGAAAATAGAGC